AGAACCGATCTTTGTCATCTAGAAGGAAAGTGAAGACCAGACTAATTGTTCTTGCTCTGAAGAAATCTAAAAAATCCATCTATCCATAATTTTTACTCACATTTCCTTTCCGAGTCACCAGGGTCTCTGGTGCCCATATCCAACAGCCACTGTGTGAGAGGCGGGGGTACACCCTGGACGGGTCTCAAGTCCATCACAGGGACACATAGAGACAAATGAGACAAACAGCCATTCACTCTCTCACTTACATCTAGGGGCGATTTAGAGTTACCAATCAGCCTAACATGCATGTTTTTGGTCTATGGGAGGAAACTGGAGTACCTGGAGAGAACATGCAAACTCCACCCAGAAAGGCCCCCAGTCGGAATTTGATCTGGCAACCTCACCGAGAGGCAGCAACTATAAACAGCTGTACCACCGTATCAAAATCTAATCAGTCCTCATTAAAAATAACCTCCCTCCACACAAATAAATTACAAATACTGGCTTCTCTGGACTATAGCATGACATTAACATGTGCGGGGGCCTCATGCTGTTACCCTGTAAAAGTATGTACTCACACTCTCAGGTGACATTGTGCTAACTTTGAACTCTTAATATGTTTTCGCTTTTTGGGTGAGCGAGGACACACTCACCCCACACACCCCCTCTCAAAGAACAAGACCTGGGGGGAAAAAAATAAAAAAATAAATAAAAAGCCACCCACGCCTCCACAAATGCACACGGTGTTCTTTTCCTCTCCTCTCAGACAGCAAGCATGCTGCTGATTATTGTGCTACACAATTTTACGGTAGTTTTAGCAATTTATCTCTCCATTGCACTTTACGTCCCAACGTTCTGCTCAGAACAGTCACTTCCTGGATCACAAGAGAACTTGTTCAGAATGTTGGGAAATGCATTGTGATGAGAAGATCAATACTCTTAGAGAAGGAAAAGGGAAAAAGAAAACGGCTAGACTGGAAAACAAGGGGAAGCAGCCTCTGTCTGTCTAAAGATATCAACTTTAAAAACACCCACTAATGCCAAACATTTGGCTTCAGTTGGACCCTGGAAGTCCTAATTTTGAGGTTCCAAACTCTAAAAGGCAACAAATTTTTTCCCTTGTTCAGTAACTTCACCATCATTTTTGTTCCATATTTAAACCAATCATCCAATTAGTACTTGAGGCTATTTTTGTAAACGGAGTTTAAGATTAAAGTGAGGAAATAAAAAACCCTCAATTCAGGGAACACTGGAAAAATCCATTACCTGTTTAGTCGGATCACATTTAAATCAACATACACCCACTCCTGTTGGTGTGAAAGGACATGTTAAACATGTTTTTACTAGAAACAAACACGTTTCTTCATTTGTTTAGTTCCCTAGTTTCACTTAAACAGCTTCAGAGACCCTGATCTTATTTTTCCACTCGTTTCCTGTTTTTGTTCAGAGAAAAGCATTTAGGTTCAGTCTCCCAATACAGACAGACAAACACGAGCAATCTTTTCATGCATTTCTCATAACAAAGGCATTCATCACAGAAAATCTATAAATTGTATTTACCTGTACAGCACTACATCTGAGCACCTTTGCACTTTAACAGTCTGCCTAAGCTTCATGTGCACAAAAAAGAAAATTTGCATACAAAATGTCTTCATTATTTATTGAATATTTATGAAATTAAAAAAAAAAATTTGCATGCACCTTAGTTATCCAGACTCTGTGCAGCTGCTCCACATTGGATTGATTAGTGGCTGGCTGTGGAAAGGAAAGAATTGTTACACTGTGGAAACAAAAGTCCACTGATTGGTTAGCAAATTTTTGTGTGATATCTATTGGTGCAATGAGTGTATTAGTGAAAAAGTGATAGTTAGTGTGCTTCCTTTCACCTGCTCTTCTCCAGGGTGTGTGGCCAAATGTTTCCCCAAGGTACAGATCCCCATTTAAAGGTTCTGGGAAAGGCCACAATACGAGTGAGTGGTTTTTTTATATTGTTTTCTCTTTTGCAAATAAACTTTGAAAAAGATTTAAGTTTGGTAAATTATATATATTTTAAACAAAGACCTTCTTGAGAGTTGGTCTCATCAACATTCCCAGTTATTCAAGAAATTAAATATCAGCAACTAATTAGCTTCTAAGCAGTGATTAACTGTTTTCATTTAGAAGAACTTCATGTTCTTTCACGTTCTTCTCCATCGTTTTGTTTTTTTGCTAGTAATTGAAGCCCTCTGGAAGGATAGGCATGGACATCATGGGACCTCTTACAACATAGCTTTTCAAGTAACTGCTACAAATAAAAAAAAAAACATTTGACTGTGCTACATTTTATTATTTATTTTATTTTATCAGGAAGGTCACCTTTAATTGCTGGGAGTTCTAGTCTTAATGGGTGCATGAATACAAATTAGGATCATATATGAATCACAAAACAAAAAGACTGAATATTATTATGTCTAGTCATACTAGTCATTTAGGGCTCAGCAATAACAGCTGTCTTCTGTGGCTTTTATAGTAGAAGAAGAGTAAAACAATTGTTTACAGACTGTGGAATGTACTTGTCCAAATTATTGCAACAGGTGTACAAACTGATAAAGATTATGGGAAGTTGGACACCCACAAACGGATGTGTTGGTGGAGAAATATAATAGTGTGTCACATCTTCAGCACGGTGGCGCAACTGGTAGAGCTGCTGCCTCTCAGCGAGAAGGTCCTTGGTTCAAACCCCGGTCCAGGGGCCTTTCTGGGTGGAGTTTGCATGTTCTCTCCGTGCATGCGTGGGTTTTCTCCGGGTGCTCCGGTTTCCTCCCACAGACCAAAAACATGCATGTTAGGCTGATTGGTAACTCTAAATTGTCCCTAGGTGTGAGTGAGAGAGTGAATGGTTGTTTGTCTCGTTTGTCTCTATGTGGCCCTGTGATGGACTTGCGACCCATCCAGGGTGTACCCCGCCCCTCGCACAGTGATTGCTGGACATGGGCACCAGCGACCCCCGTGACCCAAAATGGAATAAACGGGTAAAGATAATGGATGGATGGATGGATCTTCAGCACGACTTGATGAGGACGTGGCATACAGACAGCATGTATTAGAATGTGGTCTACCTCCTGGAGGTGTTGCATTGAACCAGAAGCTAGACATCAACCCTAATCAGTGTACTATGGCCGACAGAAGTGAAACATTTGAGGTATTGTATGTTACTGGATTTGGAAAGACAGAGTTTTAAGTTGGGAATTGAAAGAGCACAGTGCTTCCCTGTTCCCTCGACAAAGAAACAAAACATCTTGCAGGATTTCATTAGACAGACGGGTACTTGCTTTGCAGAAAGATTAGTTGTGCTGTACAACAGGACCAAGATGCTATGGTCCAGGACCAGTATTCCAAGAAGAAACCAGTGATGGGAAAAGAATCCTGTGGGGACATTGAGTCCCTCAGATATCTGAATGAATGGCAGTAAAATAAAGATTGTTGTGCCTTCCAGTGGTTGGAATGCACGATAAACACAGATGTCCACATGTCTGGATGCTACTGATCCAAACATTTAGGAGGTTCACTCTCCAGCATAGTCCAGGGAAGTCAAATGTGGCTGACAGTTTGATTGGGTATCAGAGGACTTACTCTTTTCGTGTAGAAGAGAGAAAATGGGAGAAACAAGTCTTTATAAAGCAAAAAAACCAAACCAACTTTATTTATAGAATTGATAAAAGTGATGTTCAAGAAGCCCTCAAATACCCAAAGGAACATTATATATTGTACTGTATTTTATTTGGGCACCTTTGTAATTGAAGTAAAAGCACCTTGGTCATTAATTTAATTGGCACGCCATGCTTTAAATTCACACGATGGACTGAAAGAAATATACACACAAGATGTTTAAATCATTTATTAAGCTCCTAAATTGAGCATGTCGCTTTGTAGATTTCCAGACCTGTGCCGCACTGGATCGTTAGGAAGTTGCCAATCGATCCAGAATTACTTGT